CAGGATAATCCTATAGCCAGCAACTCCCTTAAATTGGCTAGGAAATAACTAGAACTTTCTATTAATAGATCACAGGGGTAGAAATAATGCAAAATCAACTGAAATAAACCAGCTATCCTTCCCTCTTTTGGCTCAGTAGTTCACATGCTGCGCTTGCCACTGTCTGAACATAGGCTGCCCCAGGGGGCCACTTGGTAAACTCCCCTGGACAGAATTCCCCCAACAAGCTGCTCTGGGCACTAACTTTAGACTCCAGTCCTGACCAAGAAGTCACCGGAAAGAGTCATAGCTTAGCAAGCAATGTAAGAATGACAGAAAAGACACTGTTTGGAACGATCTCTGGCAGGACTGAAAGGTACATTGGAGAGACTCAATAGTTAACAGGAAGTCGCTCTTTGAATCAGCGGGCTGGAATGTATGGCATCAAGAAACACCCACATCCATCAGCAGAAAAAATTCAAATAAAGACTAAAGCTCTGAGCCCTGAAGATCTGGCTAGTGGGTACATCAACTTTGAGACCTGAGAAGAGCGAGCTAGTCTGCAGTGTCTGTTCTGTTGTCTTCTTAAGGGAATGACAATGCAGGACAGGATTGGGGTGGGAAGGACAGAGGTAGAATGTTAAGGTAGAACCTTAACACCAGGTCTTTGCATTCCCAGCGGCTTTGCCAGCGTGGGCCAGAGTGACACGCGCCACTAGGAGGCAGCGTTAGCACATGTAGAACTAGTTCTAGCGCACGTGGCCGTATACACACACATCTCATACACACGCATGCAATGTTACACACCTAACCCCACAACATTCACATATGCACCCTCACACGTGAAACTAAAATATGCTGACACACGTACTTACCAACCACACTCTTACACACAGAAAAATACTCATATACATATGTCCGTCCGTTCATACATTCATATGTTCAAAAATGGTTTTCTTTTTTTCCCTTTTTTTTTTAATTTCTGGACCACTCCAACAGTGCTCAGGGATGACTCTTAGATGAGTGTTCAGGCATTACTCTCATCTCAGTGCTCCAAAGGTGCGATCAGCAAGGCTTTTGGTGGTGCTTGTGAGGGGCTGGAGACCAAACCTCAACTCCTACATGCAAAGCAAGTGCTCATCCTGTTGAATTATATCTCTGGCTCTCTTTTTTGTGTGTGGGGGAAGGTTAGAAGTCACTTTTAGAGATATGTGCCCATTTATGCTGACCTGATGGCTAAACTACCCCATTGGTGTTTGGGGACCACCAGGAGAACTAACCCCCAAGGTTACTAGCGCACCATAAGATGCCAGAGTTTGAACTCGAATCCCAGTGCACGCAAGACATATTATCTAGCCATTGAGCTCTCTCCCCTGGTTCTCTTTCACCTCTTTAATACTTTTATTTAGGAAATATAGTGAGGAAATGGTCCTCAGACTGGTAGCTAGGCGGTATCACTGAAGAATACTCATATTTTGAGCTTGTGCCTGAGAAATAAGACGCTATATGCTGACAGGCTGGGAGGCCAATGTCCCCACGTGGTATGTGAAAGCTTTCATTTTCCGTGTTGGTAAACCTTCCTCTGCTCACCACCCCTTCTCCTCTCGCTTCCTTCCTGTAGCCCCCCCCACCCCCTTCCTACTGACTGAGCCCCTAGTCTTGTGCTGTGGCCCTCCATTCACACAGTTTGCACAAAGTGGCTTCCTTGGAATATTCTGGGAGAGCCCAGAAAGGTCACATTGTCCCTGAGTTGAGAAACACTGGCCTACAGTCCTAGTGTCTGCACAAATGTGCCGTGCCAAGGGAGGCAGGTCCAACCACGGTTCTCTTTGCATTTTTGAAGCCTTTTTTTGTTGCCCTCCTCCAAGAGGAGAGAGCTGCACCCTGGCAGCTGTCCCCAGGACCTACTCATCCAAGGAGAAAGGCTTCACTGACCTCATGCAACTTAGCCTGGCTCAGATCTACATTTGCTGTTAAGAGCACAGGAGAGGTGAAGATTCCATTCAGCTATGCTGAAGTACAGGTGGGCAATCGCCTTGCTCTGGGAAGATCCTGCATTGTCTGCAAGTTCAAGGTCTGTGGCTGGTCACCAGCATGCGAGTTTTCCAAGAGCACACACTCACCTTGTGTCTGGGTGTCACCGTTAATTATGGGACACACAGGGTTGCTTTTTCAGGCATAATGCAATTGCACACTCAGTAGACTGCCGTATGGGATCATATCATTTTTATAGACGGTGGAAAGTCAAAAGACGCATGGGTCTCGTTTTCATTGCCACACTTTATTGTATTGCCGATGGGGATGGAGTGCCAGCTTGCAAGGGCTCTGCTCCGCATCTTGCTCCTTCTGGGGCACTGGCAGGCAGGGTGTCCTAGGGAGGCTGCAGCAGAGACACCTCTGCATGGTGATGACCAGTGACCTGGAGATCCAGGCAATTCAGAAGAAACTCATTTGGAAAGGAGAGTCTGTTTGTGGGGACTAAATGGGCCACATACTCGCTGCAGAGAGGAACTGCGTCGGACAGTTTGTCCTGCTGGGTTTCCTCTACTCCAAATTGCCCGTCCATGTTGCAAAAAAAAAAAAGGGGGGGTGGGGGAGGGGCAGATTTATTCCTGTGAAGCAGGCCATAAAGAAAAGGTTCTGCACTAGGACCTCCACACTGGATCGCTTCTGCTGAGGTGTTAGGGAACTCGCCCATCCAGCAGCCGGGAAGGAAGAGCAAAATAGCACAAAATGTCCCCCACAACTTTGTCCTTTCCCAAGAGTTTCCTTGTAGGACAGGTGGTGGGAGGGAAGGAGGGAGGGAGGAACTCTGAGTGTACAATAAAGTGCTGGACTTGGGTGCTTTGGGCTTTGGGAGCAGCAGATGGGCAGAAGGGCTGGAATCACGACACTGGGACATTGGGTCCTCCCATGAGATTCTTCCCAGTGGGGCTGGAGTCATAGCAGAGCGGGTAAGGCATTTGCCTTGCATAGGACCAACCCAGGTTCAATCCCTGGCATCCCATCTGGTCCCTGGTCAATACCAGAAGTGGTTCCTAAGTGCAGAGCCTAGAGTAACCCCTGAGCATCATTGGGTGTGATCCAATAAATAAATAAATAAATAAACCCTTCCCAGTGCTCTACCCTCTACTTAAGGTTGCTTGCAGCCTGACGCTCTCCCTCAACCCCCAGTTCAGAACTTTCTTCCACTGATCCAGGGCAACAGCCCTGGGAGAGGGCATGGGTAAGAAATACTTTGACAACCCCCATTGGGTGTGCTTCTTTGCTGGGTGTGGCTGCATGCTAGGAGTTCAGACATTCTAGGTTAGTGTGTTCCATTAATCCAAGGTAGTTGGGAAGGAAGAGGGCAACCTGATCATTTTTGGTTTTGAGAATGTTTGAGGGGTTGGGAAACTTATCCAATAGTGCTAAGGGCTTCCCCCGGCTCAGTGCTCAGGGAGAGGGTCACTCTTGGAGATGCTCAGGGAACCACAGGTGGTGCTGGGGATTGAATGGGATCAGCTGCAGGTAAGGCAAGCACCATGATTCCTAGACTAACTCTCTGGCCCCGGTGATGGTGAGTTTTTAGCAAAATGTCTGGAACTGGGAACTCTACAAGCACCCTCTCAAACCCGCAGGAAACCCTCACGCTTTCCTTGCCTGGATCCTCTCTCCAGTTCTCCAAAAGTGAGTGGAAGAAAATTGGGGGATCCCCAAAGTCATCTACATACTTCTCCGTTTTGCAGCAATTAATCACAAAAACTTTTACAACAAAAGGGAGAATCGTGGAAGGATGCATTCTCTCCCTCTCTGGAACCTTGGAGAGCAGGAAGGGAATGTTTAAGAGAAACACAGCCAGCTTGTTGGACAGGGCTTATGGAAGCTTATGGAAGCCTGTGAATTGAAAGAGGCCACTTGCTGTACAAGGGTGAGATCATATTTTCCCAGCAGCATTTAGCTGGGCTGGTGCAAGCATAAGAAGGCAAGACACTTGGCACTAGACAGGGGAGCAATGTTAAGGGTGGATCATCAGATTTTGGTAAGTAAAGAAATCATTTTCAGGCATTATAAATCCCAAGCATCTGGGGTTCAACTCCAGTTTATCATCTGATGGCAGTTCTTAAACTTTTGGATCTTCTTTTTTCTTTTTCAATTTTTTTAAATATTTTTTGGGGGGTCATACCCGGCATTGCACAGGGGTTACTTCTGGCTCATGCACTCAGGAATTACTCCTTTTGGTGCTTGAGAGACCACATGGGATGCTGGGAATCGAACCCAGGTTGGCCACACGCAAGGCAAATGCCCTACCCGCTGTGCTATCGCTCCAGCCCCTTTTGGATCTTCTTATTGTTTTTGCCACACTCAGAGGTGCTCAGAGGGCTGTTCCTGACTCTGTGCTCAGAAATGACCCCTGGTGGTATTTGGGGAACTATATGCAGTGCTGGGGATCAGCTGGCATGCATAGCAAGTGCCTTACCTCCTGTACTATCTCCTATAATCCTCAAACTATTGAAGACAAAGAGTTATATGGGATAGGGGTAAAGCCATATTTCATCAGGTAAGGCAATTGCCTTGCATGCAGCTGACCCGGGTTCAATCCCCAGCATCCCATATGGTCCCCTGAGCATCAGGCCAGAGTGATCCCTGAGTGTAGAGATAAGAGTAAGTCCTGAGCACTGCTGGGTGTGGCCCAGAAAAACAAGCAAACAAACAAACAAAAAAAGAATTCTCTGCGGATTTTGTCATAAGTGCTGATTCAGAAGTCATCCCCAGAGACTCTGGGACATAATTTTTTTTCCTGTTATTTATCAGGTGATACTGCTGAGAGGGGTCTGTGAACCATTCTATAAATACCGCATTGCAGTTGTTTTCTGTGAGTGCATTTGAGAACAGAATTAGAGAGGGGGAGAAGGGTTACAGATAATTGTCTAGTCTTTCCATTTCACGACCAGGAAATGATGAGGTTCCAAATACTTAGATTTCTAACCCAGGAAACATAGCTGAAAGTGAGCCACCATGAGGCAAGACACTTCAGTGACTAAGGCTACGAATGCATCTTTATTTTTACACTCATTAGGTGCCTTGGGAAAACCCAGATCCATGGGTGACCTTCTGTTCTGAAAACCAGTTTAGCATGGCTTTATATCTGAAGCATCCGTTTTCCAGAAAGCCAAAGAACTGTGTTCTGTTTGAGGAGGAAAAAAAAAAAGAAAGCATTCTAAGACAAATGGCCATACCTTGAATTTGTGAAATTTGAGCCAAGTCGAATATGTTCTACAATGTGCCAAATATATTCAAATGATATAAGGAAAGCATTCAGTAGGAGATTTAGTGTTAGGAAAAAACATCAGGGAAGTTCTATGAAGAGACTAGTTTGGAAAAGAAAAAAACAAAATTTATATAGCTCTGATAGTCGAGTAAAAGAAAAGAAATGGAGAAAAGCTTGGGTCCTTCCTTTGTTCTCCAGAGCATGAACGGGAGCACATTCATAGAAAGAACATCACAAATTCAGCCAAAAACAAACACATCAACAAAATTCTGCCTGTAGTTATTCTCTTCTAATAGTTTCCCCTCTATTGCTACTAGCTTTAATGTAATTTGTCAGTTTGATTTAGTAGTGAGCATTTCAAGAGGGCTCTGCTATCTTCTGAATGGTAATCCTTTGTCAGAGTCATTGGTTCAGCAATGACCCCATGCTCTATGTAATATTTTTTACTAATTTAACCTATGATTTGCACATAATTTACCTAGTGTCATTCCTGTTCTCTCTGTCTCTATCTCTCTGTCTCTGTCTTTCTCTGTTTCTGTGTCTGTCTGTCTGCCTGTCTCTGTCTCTGTCTCTCTCTGTCTCTGTCTCTGTCTGTCTCTCTCTCTCCTCCTCTATTCTGCTCCTACTATCCTCCTCAGCTTCTCTGCTAAATGAGAGCAAGCCACATGCTTAGAGTATTTCTGACCTCCTAGTCTATAAGACCTTCAGCCTCAGCCTATTTCTTCCTTTGTAGCGGCAAAGAGTTCTCAGCTCTAAACAGGAAACAATAAGATGTCGACCGCTCTAAGTGCTTGTCATTTTATCCTTCATTATCTTACCCATACCATCATTTTCCTTAAAATGTCCTGTTTTAATGAATATTTTACTTTACCGGGTACTTTTCAAATTCTAGGAATTGCTTGAGGGAAAGGAAAAAATGTTAGAAGCTCTATAAACCAATTACCACCATTATGAATTACTTTGTAAATTGGGATAAAGGCTTTAGAGTTGGGGTATAAGTGGTAGAAATATCATTATTATTTAATATTGTTAGCATTATTATTCATGCTTAAAATGCACTAACATAAGAGAGCATAATTTACCTCAATGCTCATTGAACAAAGTCATAACCCTAAGTTTTGAGGAGAAGAACTAGAAGGAAAATGTTTATGTTAGTGGAGAAAGTGGAAGGCAAAACCTTCTCCATCTCAGCACTTCCTCCTACCCCTCTTTTCTGAGAAATCCAGTGACCCAACAGATCTGCTGGCTCATAATAAAAGTATAGATAATAGTGAGATGCTATAAAAGTTGGTGAGAGTCCAAGTGTTCAACTTACCCTTGAAGCATTTGGGAACTTCAAAGGTGCCATCAATACATTGAGCATCTACTGTGTAGCTACATTTTTGCTCCTTATTTTTGCAGAAGAAAGACACTTTTTCGCCATGCAACATTCCATTCTTAAATTTTTCTTGGAGCTTGACTTTTTCTCCATTAAACAGCACAGTAGCTTTTTTGACAGATAATTTACAAGATGCTGAAAAAGATCATATTTACAGTCAAGATCTATGCTTTCAATTAGACTTCCTTTTCTGGTCTGTTTTTGCTTTTGGGCCACATCAGCTATACCCAGCTTACTCTTTCTAGGATCACTCCTGGCTGTGCTCAGGGGACCATATGTAGTTCTGGGGATTGAACATGAGTGGTCGCATGCAAAGCAAACACCGTACCCACTGTACTTTCTCTTGGACCACAGTTAAACTTTCTTAAAGTAATTGTAGCATTTAAACCAGCAGGTATGGGGCCAGAGTGATAGTAGAGTAGGGAGGGCACTTGTCTTGCATGCAGCTGACCCAGGTTTTATCCTCAGCACCCCAAATGGTCCCCTGAACACTGCCAGGAGTAATTCCCGAGCCAGGAGTAAGCCCTGAACACTGCTGGGTGTGGCCCCCAAACAAAGACATAAACCAGCAGGTATGTACCCCTAAAGCAAATTGTTCAAGTCAAGAATATTCCAAGGGGGTATGGTGCCGCCAGCAAGTCAATCTGTACCTGTGAGGTGAGTGCATCAGCAGGTGCCTGATGGCGCCTTCAGACTTCCAGATACCCCAAAATTGCTGCTGTGTCTTTGGCTAGACCCCAAAAACTTGGGGCAAAGTTTACCAAGAAAGTAAACGGCCAAAAGTTAGGTATGTGGGAAACACACCCACAAAACACTTCCAACTCAGCTATATAATTGGTGGCATGGCCTCTCTGGTTCCTGATTGATCTGCTTAATGGCCATGATCCCAGAGACTCAGAAACAAATCTCGAAACCCAGCAGCTTTTGGCAGAAATGTGTCCGGTCCCTGCAATAGGTTACCAGTGCTGGGCCAACCCAGGTGGGAATAGGTTTAGTGCCTTGGCCTGTTCCCCCTGGCGGCCCGGTGGCCGACATCCTCCAGAGGCCACTGGACAGTCAGGTTTGGGCCCGCAGTGACGAGATATGTTGGGCCTCACGGGATGGGAGTGGAGCTGGTCCTGTCCTCCCCACCCCAACGAGATCCCAAGTCATCGCCCATCAATGGCCTCTCTGGCTCCTGATCAAGCTGCTTAACGGCCATGATCCCAGAGACTCAGGAGCAAATCTCGGATCCCAGCAGGTTTGGGCAGAAATCCCTCCAAATTTAAGTGTTAAAATTTCGGAATTTCAAAATCGTGTGGCCACTACTGCAGCCACGCGACCTCATATGTTATTCATAACCAGCAATAGAAAACAAATTGTCTACTGTTGCCTTTTCAGCAGATCTGAGTGTTGGGCTAAAATCTCAAATAATAATGGTGGGTCTGATGTCAAAATATTGAATGTGATCAACGTAGAGAGAGAGTAATATGGAAATCATCTGCCCCACAGGTAGAGGGAGGGTGTGGGATGGGGGTATACTGGGGTTGTTGGGGGTGGAGAATGGGCACTGGTGAAGGTATGGGTGTTTCATTGTATGACCGAGACTTAAACCCGAAAGCTTTGTAACTGCTCTCATGGTGATTCAATAAATAAAATGATAAAAAAATGAAAAAAAAAGTAAGGTGGAGTTCATGTACAATTCAATCAGCTAATCAGTGGCTAAATAAATAGCAGTACTCCTACATAAAAAAAGAATATTCCGAGAATGTACATAGTAGTATCAGCAATGTATACTAATAACAATTTTTAATCAAAAGAGCCATTAATCATGATTTCCCAGATGGCAATCTCTTTTTCTGCAGTAAACACTTAAGAAGATCAGAGCGGAAGTATTCAAGTCTAGGTTTCAGGGCAAAGAGTTTCTAAAAGATATTGACATTTCATATATCCAACATTGCTCCCACGGGTCCTGTTTATTGAGTCAGTGCACCCAACCACCAGCCTCTGTGAATGTTGATTGATAGCAACTCACAGAACATTTGTTTCTCTGAAAGAGTTGTCTTTAGCCCTAAGGGAGCTACCTTTCCCAGGAAGTTATGGCAAAGTTATGGATCTCAACCCTTGGGTGAGGATAAGAATCCCTGTCCTTGGCCCATAATCAATGACTCACTGACAAGGGATTACCAAAGGTAGATCCACCTCTTGATGGGATAAATTCTAGAGTAGAATTCGTGTTTTCAGATCTTCCAGAAGAATGAAGTGTTGCTAGACTATCTCTGACAACTATATCGTTCGCTGTCCATGTGACTCCTGATTACTAGCTGCCCCATTAGAATGATCTTCTATTGCCTTGAACTAACTGGAAAGCATGGTTAGCTTTTGCAACTACCAACAAAAAGAGTTCTGAACAAAGCAGAAAAGGATGTGCACTGGCGAAAACTTAAAACCTATTGCAAGAAGTCCACACAGTCTTTCATCATTCTATCTCTGTACTTTAACCTCAAATAATCACTGTGTCTTCTTCTTTTTTTTATTAGTGAAACACCATGAGGTACAGTTGTAGACTTACAAACTTTTGTGCTTGGGTTTCAGTTATAAAATGATCAAGTATCCATCTCTCCACCACCAGTGCTCATTCTCCACCACCAATGATCCCAGTAGCCCTCCCACCCCTCACCCCATCCGCCCACCTCATCTCTGTGGCAGGGCATTCCCTTTTGCTCACTCTTTCCTTTAGGATATTGTAGTTTGCAATAGAGGTATTGAGTGGCCAACATGTTCGGTTTATAGTCTACTTTCAGCACACATCTTGCATCCCGAACGAGTCCTCTAAACATCCTTTACTTGGTGTTCCCTTCTCTATATGAGCTGCTTTTCCCCCCAGACACTGTGTCTTCTTAAGCCCGAAATTTTCCTATCCTGATCTGAGTCCTAAAATCTTTCACATGCCAGTAGCTGGGGAGTGAGGCCTGAGCAGTAGTGAACAATTTAGAACAAGAAAGTAAGCAGTTTAAGATGGTGCACCACATAAATTCAACAACATTTTAGGATCTTACCCATATTTCATACCTTTACAGCTTGGCTGTGCAGACCAGTTTCCAAATTTGGTGCATTCTACTTCGTCCGGGCCATCCAAGACATAAGTATCATGGCACCCATATTTGGCTTGATCCTTATAACTAAGCGCTACTTTTGCAGGATGGTTCACATATCCATTCTCTGGTCTTTTGGGGAATGGGCATTTTACATCTAGCAGTATATTCAATAATGTATGTTAGTGTTACATGATAGCCATGCTACTCAAAAGTTACATAAGAACTACTTGCCACAGTCTTTTTTTCTATCCATTATACCACTGAATCTGGCAGTTTCTGCCATGGGAACACAAGTTCTAGGAACTCCGATGGTTAATTCTATCCCCACTATTTTATATTCATGCGACCTAGATTATTTTTTAAATGACACTTTGAAAGCATATTTAATAATGTCACATGATATAAGGTATTGCAAATTTGATCTCCATGCAATTGAAGATACGGGATTTGAAACAAGAATGTCTGCTTCTTTTCCACCAACAAACCATGAAATTAAAACACAGAGACTCCCACAGCGAACACTAGCACATCATTACTTGGCTTTTAAATGCTAAATCTCATTCTTATGATTGTCATTAGAGCATACAAGGAGTCAGCATGCACTCTGGAAGAGAAAAATGGGGCTTCTTCCTGATCTTCTCAACAGGAGACCCTCAAAGAACAAGCATCCACTACTACTTCTCTTTATCCCATTTCAAGAACAAGGATAGAGCCGGAAGCACCGAGCTCTTGGAGGGTCATAGTTATGTTTTAGAGTAACAAACTCCACTTGGGAGGATGGGTATGGTACCAGAAACTTGGTGGTGAGTGGTATAAATCTTATACACTTACAGAGGCATAGTGCTGTGTCCTCTGCAAGTATTGTAAAACACGATAATAATTTTTTAATAGAAAAGAAATACAAACTCCAGAGTCGGAACACTGGACTGGTAGGTTTTACATTGTCTTTTCACATATTGAATTAAAAAAAAAAAACACTCTGTCTGTCACTGTCCTCCCATTGTTCATCAATTTGCTCCAGCAGGCCCAGTAACGGCTCCATTTTGAGACTTGTTACTGTGTTTGGCATATCGAATACAGCCCGGGTAGCTTGCCAGGCTTTGCCATGCGGGAGAGATACTCTCGGTAGTTTGCTGGGCTCTCCGAGAGGGGCGGAGGAATGGAGGAATCGAACCCAGCTTAGCTGGGTGGGCTTCGCGCAAGGCAAATGGCCTACCACTGTGCTATAAAAAAAAAAAAAATCTGGGCCAGAGCAAAAGTACTGCCGGTAGGGGGGTTGCCTTGCACGCAGCTGACCTGGGTTCAATCCCTAGCAGCCCCTGAGCATTGCTGGGTGTGACCCAAAAAGCAAAAAAAAAAAAAAAATCTATAAGAATATTAGGGGAAGGGGGCTAGAGAAATAGTACAGTTGGTAGGGTATTGGCTTTGCACATGGTCAACCTGGATTGATCTGCACCATCTCATATGATTCCCCTGAGCATTGCCAGGAGGAAAACTGAGTGCAGTGCCAGGAGTAACCTGTGAGCATTGCTAGGTGTGGACCCCAACACAAATAAACAAAAAAGAATATTAGGGAAAAATGGTCTATGGAAGAAAATTTCTCCCCTATAAAAGAATGCCTTCTAATTAATATAGAAGGAAGAGTACAACTAGAAAGTCATCCTTACTAAATGAGAACATTCAGATCTTGATAGACAATGCTACTTGCCCACAACCTATAGGTTAATAATGGGATGTTACTTTATTTTTTTGGGTGGGGGATGTTACTTTAATAACAATATTTTAAGAGAAAGTCACAATTTTATAGCTACCAGCATCATAATTTAAGTTCTCAAGGATCTCTGATGGGAGTAAAAATTATTTCTGAAGTGTAGGTATTCATATGTTCTCAAAGTATCACCCATCAGTGATACTTTTCTAGTTCCAAAGACAATGAGAGTCTCTACCAGGAGAAAATCTGTCACAACTCCTCTGACACAGGCATCAAACTAAGCACAACCAATGATGAATCCATATTCCCTTCCTCAATCGGGGCTAAGTGTACTATTAACCAAATGATTTAACTGAAGTCTAACCATGGGTAAATAATAAACCCAATTCAAACTATAGAGCCTTACGCAATCTGTACTCTTGAAAATGTCAAAGGGAGACAACCAAAATGGCAGGGGTCATTCTTCTTAATTTTTTTTTTAAATTTAGAAACCATAATTTACATAATTATTTCCAGGCAAAGGTGGGCAGGGAATCATCCTTCACTAAAGGAGACTAAAGGAGCCTGGCAACTTAAGGGAATGTGTGTTTCTTGATTAGATTGCACATTAAAAAAAAAAAACGAATAAAGGTCACTGTTGAGTCAACTGGGGAAATGTGCATGTGAAATAAATGATGCTAATGTTTTATATTATTATAATGGCCTCAATAGCTCTTGTTAATAATTCAAATATGTTCAGTGTCTTGGGTATAGTGTTTATATAGGAGAATGTCCTCATTCTTAGGATATTAATCCTGAAGTATTTATGGTTAAATATCATAACACGTATGAGTTCTTTTCAGATGGCTCAGGGTGAGGGGATTATCTGTCTGTGGAGAGGGAGTGGGGGAAATGGAAAGGAGGGAAAGAAGGTCATAATACAATTGGTGCATCTAGATGAAGAGCTTGAAAAGAGGATAGAAGGAACCTACTTGGGGTCTGGAGTGATAGCACAGCGGGTAGGGTATTTGCCTTGCACTCAGTAGACCCGGGTTCAATTCCCAGCATCCCATATGGTCTCCTGAGCACCACCAGGGGTGATTCCTGAGTGCATGAGCCAGGAGTAACCCCTGAGCATCGCTGAGTGTGACTCAAAAAGAAAAAAAAAAAGAACCTACTTGAGTGGTTAGAACCTGGGAGACTTAAATCATATGGTCACATCTGCAAAAGACCACCATCTGACCCAGAGCTAAGTCCATCCTAGAAGTGCTAGATAGTTCATATCTTTTTATTGGTCATTTCCCCATGCTGAAAATGCTCTAAGTTTTGAATCATTCCCTCTTTCCCTATCTTATCTACCCTAGGAGTCCACAGCCTATTTTCCTGTGTGCCTGGTAAATTTCCTAATTTGTCTACTTATCATACCATTAACAAACTCAGAGATAACAATCTGGGTCAAAGTAGGGTGGAATTTCCATAATTTGCTTTTGCTTCGGAAGCTGAGATAAAGACGGCAGAGGTTTCCCTAGAGTCTCACCTCCATTTGCCAGCTCTCCAGCTTTTTCCTGGCCAATATGAAGGAACACGGGGCTGTTCCAAACACCTCCCTCCCCCTGCCTCACTCACCAACTTACTTCCCACATGCTCTGCCCTTCGGGACATGCCTCCCACCTCATTCTCCAGTCCTCCTGCAGTGCTCCACAGCCCAGAACAGGGATTGTAGTGCTCTGAGGTCAGAAGGCAGTTTTCATTCACCTGGTGCCTTCAGTGCCCTGCACATTGCCTGACCCACCATAGGTGCCAACAAGGTTCAGTGAGACACCTCACACACGTGGAATTTCCACACATGGCAGATAGGATCATTTCTTCCTGTCACTGCACTCACCTCTGCATTCAGGTAACTCCGTCCAGTTTCCATGGGCTGTACAGGTGATCGTGTCATTACCAAACATGGCATACTTTGGCAAGCATTTGAAGACTGCCTTGTCTCGATAGAAGGAGTTATTTCCAGGCCTCGGCTTATAATCACTTAGTGTGGCAAAGTTAGGTATGGGTGGAAAAGGGCAGGTTACAGCTAGAAGAAAAGAAGAACTATACATTTTAGTGAAAATAGTTGGCATCTTTTAAATAGAATTCTTCCCCCCCCACCCCTGAAGAGAACAACCACAAAAAAAAAAAACACTTTTAAAGATTGATCTGAGATCAAGGAAATTTTGATCAAATGCCCAAGAGTTAAAACAGTCTATTGCAGAGGCCAAATAAGAAAGGGTGATCTAGAGCTGGAGTGATAGCATAGCGGGTAGGGCGTTTGCCTTGCACGCAGCTGACCCAGGTTCAATTCCCAGCATCCCACATGGTCCCCTGAGTACCGCCAGGAGTAATTCCTGAGTGCATGAGCCAGGAGTAATCCCTGAGCATCACCAGGTGTGACCCATAAAACAAAAGAAAAGAAAGGAAAGAAACAATGATCAAGGTTTGGGGAGATAGTCCAAGAGGTAGAGAGCTTGCCTTGTACATGACAAACCAGATTTGATCACTGACACCCACATAGGGACTCCTGAGCACTTCCAGGAGTGAGCACAGAGTCAGGTGTAATCCCTGAGCACTGCCCGTATGGCCCATAAAGCAAACAACCAACAATTTAGCCTCCCCCAAAAAATTAATTGAAAACTCTAAATTTGTCTCTGAAAGGTAATCACTACCACTCATAGACCTTTTACAGTAGCATAATATTTAGGTTTCTGTAGTCTTTGCTCCAAATGCTACCTTCAGAGATGCTTCTGGAAGTTAGGATTGGTGGAAGGCAGAGCTGAGGAGCAATCCAACAGACACTGCTCAGGTGACAGCAGCTAAGTGCAAAGTTAATGGTGGCATGGTTGCTCCACTCATAGTTGGGCTTAGGTGTCCATTCCAAACAGGCCAATGCCCACACTCTGTGAACCTGGGCCTATCCAAGCAGCATGCCATAGAGATGCGGTAGAAAATAAGTCATTTTACTGATGGATTGATAGATACTTCCCAGCCAAGGGAAGTTCTACTAACTTCATGGAAGTCAGTGCAGAAATTTAATTTGACTTGAATTATCTAGATTATTACTGTGAAAGTGGGATCTGCAGACCAGCAATGTGGCCGTAGTCTGGGAGTTTGATAGAAACACAGGTCAGGCCCCAGGCCAGACGCAAGAATCAGAATCCGCTTTTTAACAGGATGCCCATGTGATTCACAAATGAGAAAACTTGTACAGTGTAGACTAAAGTTACAGTCGCCATTCTGCTTGTAATTAAAGAAGAAAAAAAGTGACTTTGGATCATTGATCAAAATCTACTTAAAAGGGAAACTATTTTAGGAACCACGGTAATTACTCCTGTTGAGTGAATTCCTCTACTTAATTTATGCCTAAGAATCTTTTGGGGGAGGGTAGCTTAGCTTATCTTGAAATATTGTTCTTTGAAATTGTCTTACTTTTCTTCTTGCTTTTGCTAGGGCAAACCTTTTCATCAAAATGTTAAAGAACTGAAACTATGATTGTAACACACAGGCAAGAGATTGCAAGTAAGGGGCTGGAGCAATACTACAGCTTGTAGGGCATTTGTCTTGCATGTGGCTGACCTGGGCTCGATGCCTAGCACCCCAGATGGTCCCCCGTAGAAAGTGATCTCTTAGCCCAGAGCCAGGAGTAAACCCTGAGCACCTCTGGGTGTGCACCTCCCCCCCGCCACAAGGAAAAGATTGGACTTGAGTCGATCACAATATTGGGAATATAAACACAAGCCATCTGTCCTTGTTCAAACACAGCCCAGCTCTGATCCTGACTGCGAGGCTGAGCACCCCAAGTAAACCAGGTGGCCTTTGGAGACCTCTCAGGCTGGCGGATGAAGGCCCTTTGGCACTGAGTTCACTGAGAAGGTGAGCAGCCTCATGCCCCTTGCCAGTCTGTGTACTTGCCAAGGGCAGTGCTCAGTCTGAAGACATGAAGCCTCAGGGCTAGGGAGAGAAAATTGCACACAGAAGATGCTGAATACATGTCTCTGTGAATGCAGGAAGGAGTCCATAAACTTCCAGTGTGGAAGGAAGGGTTTTGGTCCTCCTGTTTCCAGAAGAAACTTTCTTCTAGTCTAATGGGCCAATGCCACACATATCCACGCTCCTATTCAGCCCTTGCCAGGGAGCTGAAGTTAAGAAATCCATGAAGGACCAGCTCCATCAATGGAGGAAAGGAAATATGTTCAAGAATATTCCAGAGTAAGAGGGTATCGAGATGAAAGGTTGACCGCCAGCTTGTGGAGCAAGAACGGAGGGGTTGGGGATATGAGATAACAGTGCTAAAAGCAGAAATTCCCTATCTTGGATTCTTCCCTTAACTAAGACCCACAGACTCACGAGAACAGACTGGGATGGCTGGACTCCACACCCCTTCCTCAGTGCATTTCGCATTATCAGTTCCGTTCAGCATATACCTACAAAAGAAAAACTTCATTCATCAACTGGTAAAATCCACGGACAATGCCTCAAATATCTTTTCCATTGAGCATTGCTTAGAATTATTACTCTGAACCTCTTTCCCAGATTATAATGCTATTTTCCTAAGGAAAACACTCACCCAAAGCTCCCGGAATAATTCTGCAGGTGAATTTCTGAAGAATAACAGAGTTCCACAATTTGGAGTGTCAATGCCAAGCCCCTCCCCCCAACCCCAATTCTTCCTTTCTAATCAGCCAGGAAAGCTAGCTGCTCCTTATATAACAAAAGAGTCTTCTCTTTATCAACATCACAAAGCTGAATCAAGCTACATAACCTCACCTGTTCTTTTTCCAAGAGTCAATGAACTCTTACACCATGCACAAACAATGCAATTAATTTCCATTGAAAAATGTAATGTTCTGGGGCCAGAGAGATAGGGGTTGAGGTCTATGCCTTGCTGATCCTGATTTGATTTGCTGAAGAACAAGGTCCCCTGAGCATCTCTGGGTGTCTGAAAGTACCACTGTGTGTAGCCCCAGAGGCTCCCATATATCACTGGGGTGGCCCCAGGTAACTCCAGCACCTGGGGCCACCTGAGCACATTACATCCTCAGCTCTCCCCTAGATCCACGGTTCCAGTTGGCCAAGAACCATGAGGAAGTGTTCCTGGACCTCCTGAGTGTCCTTAAGGGACGTCCCATAATTATGTTCTATCCTCATGAAACAATGTTTCAAGGTTGTTTATTTCGGGGATTTTGTTTGTTTGTTTGTTTGTTTGTTTTGGGGGGGCAGCCTGCCATGCTCAGAGGTTATTCCTGAGTCTGTGCTCAGGAATCACTACTGGAGGGCTTGGGGAACAAAATAGGGTGCTGGGTATTGAACCTGGGTTAGTCCAGACTCTGTTTCAAGGTTATGTTATCAAATTAACCAATTTGCCACCCTGGATAAAACAACCAAATTTCTCTTTCACACAAGGAGTTCTTAGCCTCCAATCCAAAAAGAGATCTCGGTAAAAATGTGCCCTGGAGTACAGCCAGTGAGCTCTCTGCAAGTCTTCGGTGCTTTTCTGCTCCCAAGGCAGACAAGCTGTGTGATCAACTGCCAGAGCTTTCTTCCTGGCAGACAGTGTAATGTGAGCACTTAGAATGGAGGTCAGAGAAGGGGGAGGAGAGAGAAGAAAGAGAGAGAGGAGAGAGAGAGAGAGAGAGAGAGAGAGAGAGAGAGAGAGAGAGAGAGAGAGAGAGAGAAGAGGAGAGGAGAGAGAAAGAGAGAGAGAGAGAGCAAAAAGAAAAAAAACAAAAAGAAAGAGAACTATATTCAGACCTGAAGGGCCTAGATTTGGTCCAACCCCAGAGGGAGGGTCATTGTTAGAGTCCCAACCTTCTCAACAAATTCTCTTCTAGAGACAATGAGGCCAATTAATGACATAAGGCTCCTAACAAAAAGCCGAGTTCAACTCCAAAAATACTTTAACCCTCAAGCCAAGATTTGTCCCAGAGATTATAAGAAATCTAAGTTCAATCATTCCAAGGTATCTTCTTGACTAAATAATTCATCAGGAGCAGAAAAATTAGACATGGTCATGATTTCATATTTCATTACTTATTTTTATTGTCTGTGTCTTACCCCAACCTTAACTCCACTGTGGCATATATTAAAAGCAGGACTAAAATTGGCTTCTATTAAGCAAATCCAGCCTAAGACTAGAGATTAAAATATAGGCCCATCTGAACACTTAGTTTAAGGGCAGAGGAAAGTTTTGCAATTCTTTTTAACTGGAAATCCTTACCCGGTGTTGCAAGAAAAGCTGATCGTGTTGGGATATTCAAAAGTTGTGTAGCGCACAATTCCGTTTTCTAAGATCCCAGCAAAAGGGCATACTCTGGCTGTCATTGAGAGATAGAAAGGAAAATTTCTATGTATGCAATTTTCCCTTAAGGAATGATATGGAAGCCCATTTCTGCCTTTTGATCCAGTAATAACTCTGCCAGTAATATTCTAATAGATTAACATAAAATAAGTCAAATAATATAGAAATAAAAGTATAAACAAAAATGGACAGTAAATGTCCAAAACCGATAACAAAATGGACAGTAAGTCCACTCTCAGGGGACTAGTTTAACTGGAAACAGCGAACCAACATTTGAATTAAAAAGCAGGCAAAAAATGTGGATTCTAGAAATCCAGTCAGTATTTTTGATACGCCAATGAAGAATCAGAATGATGTTTACTCTTTGCAATGATGCGATCATATGTGCATGGAAAAGTACTTGAATTGTTAGTATTCTAGAGTTCTACATAATTTAAGGAAAAGGAATTTCCTGTAGATATTATAGTGATTTAAATTAAATTGTAAGGGGCCAGAGCAATAGTACAGTGGGCAGGGCGTTTGCCTTGCACACGGCCAACCTGGGTTAAATCCCTGGTATACCATATGGTCCCCCAAGCATGACCAGGAGTAATTCCTGAGTGCAAAGCCGGGAGCAACCCCTGAGCATTGCTGGGTGTGACCCAAAAGGCAATAAATAAATAAATAAAACATTTTAAAATTAATTGATTAATTAAATTGTAAGTAATTTTAAATTAAAATTTTTAAGTAAAGTATATGGAAATGGTATATGGAAAAAGTAGTGGAAATATGTGCTATTTAAACATAAATATGTGTAATTTTCAAAAGAATCATGTCCCCAACCAGGGCTCAGATAGGTTCATGTAGTAATTTTTGCTGCTCAACTTCTACATAACATTGCCCAAAGTCCTATATGGTTGGTTGTTCAATAGTTGACTATAAAAAATGCCAGGTATGATATCACAGTACCAAACTTTGAAGGAAAAAATAAGAGCAACTATCCACCATTAAGCTAATGGAGTCATGGATATTGCTTTTTATATCTCTATACAGTTTTAATTGAAATATAATTTCTGTGATTTGACACAAGTATATATAGTACTTTCCAATTTATTAAAAATGCATCATTTAGATGAAATTTATGTCTATTTCAGTATCTATTAAGTCATCTTTCATTGTGAGGCAAAGTCCAAAGATAAAAGGAATGGCCATGGGGGCTGGAGTGATAGCACAGCGGGTAGTGCATTTGCCTTGCACGAGGCCAACCCGGGTTCGATTCCCAGCATCCCATATGGTACCCCAAGCACTGCCAGGAGTAATTCCTGAGTGCAAAGCCAGGAGTAAATACCCCAGTGCATCGCTGGGTGTGACCTAAAGAAGCAAAAAAAAAAAATGGAATGGCCACATTTTATTTCTCCCCATTTCCCTCACCCCTCCCTGATCTGTTTTTGATACCCCGACCCCAGGCTGTGTTTGTCTTCTCTTTACTGAAAGACTCGGTTGCCCCTGTTTTCCCTCTCGGGAAGAAATCCCCAGACTTCCACTCTCAGCCCACTGACCTTCTGCATCCAGACTTAGCACTGTAAATCCCCCCTTCCCCCCAGATCCCAGTGCAGTAAGGGCGGGGGTCGTGAGAGGAGGCAGAGACTCACGTGTGCACTTCAATGTGTTAATGGGCCAGAGGCCTGTGAGTGGGCAGGTGAAGCGTCTCATGCCCCCGCGGGACACATAGCCGGGCTTGCAGGAATACACTATAGTCTCACCGGGGTCATAGACATCTTTTAAGGGAACAACTGTGGCAAATGGTAATTGGTCTGGCTTGGGACAAGCTGGAAAGAGAACATAATAGTTGGTTAAGAAATCTATGCTCTGCAGTAATAATTAAAACATGGTACTGGAACAAAGGCAGAGTTGCAGACCAATGGAACAGGGTTGAATATACTAGCATCTCCCCCCAAGCATACGATCATCTAATCTTTGATAAGGGGGCAAGAAAAGTGAAGTGGAGCAAGGAAAGCCTCTTTAACAAATTGTGCTGGCAAAACTGGACGGTTACATGCAAAAGAGTGGGCTCAGATCTCTGCCTAACACCATGTACAAAAGTAAGATCAAAATGTACTAAAGACCTCAACACCAGACCAGAATCCATAAGGTACATTTGAAGACAAAGTTGGCAAAACCCTCCATGACATTGAAGCTAATGGTGTCTTCAAAGATGTCACAGAGGTAGGGTAGGATGGGGGGGATGGGGGGTGGGAGGGATACTGGGATTAGTGGTGGTAGAGAATGGGCACTAGTGGAGGGACAGGTACTCGATCATTGTATAACTGAAACCCAAGCAAAATTTGTAAGAAATGGGTCCCGAACATGATTGCCACTCAATGCCTCTTTTGCAAACCACAGAACCCAAAAGGAGAGAGAGAGAGAGAGAGAGAGAACAAAAGGGAATGCCCTGCCACAGAGGCAGGGGGGGGAGGAGGGATGGGGCGTAGGAGGGATACTGGGATCAGTGGTGGTGGAGAATGGGCACTGATGGAGGGATGGGTACTAGATCATTGAATAACTGAAACCCCAGTACAAAAATTTGTAAGTCTACAACTGTATCTCATGGTGTTTCACTAAGAAAAATTAAAAAAAAAAAAAAAGAAATCTATGCTTTGGGGGCAGGGGTAGGGCACTTGTACTTGGTCAACGTGGATTCCATCCTGTCACCCAATACAGTCCTGTAGCCCAGAGACAGGAGTAAGTCCTCAGTATAGCCAAGTGCAGCTCCACTCAAAACCTAACAAACAAAATAAGAAAGCTATGTTTCTGCCACTAAGTGACAGAAATGACTGATCTCTTTCCTCAGGTTAGGATAAAAGGGCTGCAAACAGTAGCCCCCTTGGGCATATCTGCAGTCTTTGCATCTGTCAGTGGCCCTCAGGAACGCTGGACACAATCCTTTACTGTGGACTTTCATCTGCCCTCATGCTCCCCTTGTCTTGGGCTCCAGAAAGATTTGGGGGTACCCTTGGAAAACTCCAGAACATAAAGACCAGGTCACATTGGCTACTATGTCCATCCATGCCATACTGCTGGGCAAGAAGCAGGTGATCGAAGCTCTCTGCTGGGTCGTGTTCCAGGAAGTGTGACTTGGCCAGTTTTTAATGCAGATAAGTTAAAAGATGGGATGGCTGGGAAGAGACTCATCCCAGATGGCTCAGAGCATCCCAAATCATGGAGCCCGGGGCCAAATGACAGGCCCTGCCTTCGCACTGTCTCTGGGCTGCCCTTCTGGAGTGCCTCCTCTCCTCCCTCCAAGAAATCCCTCTTCCTAACCATAAAAGGAAAAAGGGATCCAGGCTCGCCTTCTTAAGATCAGCTGGCATGCACAAATGAGAAATAATGAATGCTACTCCTAACGGACATGCCCGCATCTGTGCCACACACTTATTATGGGCATGAAGATCTCATGCACTCAGTACAGAAAGCTTTGGAAAAGTCCCATCTTTCATCCTATCCTGGAGATCAGCTTGCTGAAGCCCAAACTAGTCCTGTTATACCCATACAGTTCCTCTCGCATCCACCTCCCCCTAAAAAAAAATTAGGGTATCGTTATTAGTCCTGGCATCTCCTAAGGATTTCATAGATGAAGATTTCTGTCCTGAAGAATACTCACTCCGTCCCGCCGTAACGACATGGCAGACAAAACTCAAGAACAAGAAGAGCACCCGGGAAGCCATTGGGAGGGTTCACCGTGACACTGTGGAAGCAACTTTCCTTACTGAGAAAGAAGAAGAGAGAGGCAGAGGTGAAAGGGCTTAAATATTAACCTCTTTGTGTACCTTTTTATCTCCGTCAACAGAAGATAAAGTATCCTGATTTCAAAGGAACTCGGAGGTCTGCATTCTTTCATTGCTTGCTTTCCACTTCTGTGGTTCTGTTGTGAAATCTTCAGGGCATGGTATCCGTCTCCATGACATGGAGGTTCATGGCACAAAGCAGGTTATTATTGTTCCCACAGAATCCTGGGGGGCCCCACCCATCAGGTCTCTACCTGTTCATTCCCTTTCCTTTGTTTCACGGATGGAGCGGATAGAGCAGCAAAAGTCATGCCAACCCAAACTCCATGGCTTACAATATCCACATCTCTTGAGTGATACCCCAAGCATTCAGACATCGGACCCCCAAAAAGTATCATGAAAATGCTTCATGAAAGCATCAAAAATGACAATGCCTAAGAAAGCTGAACTCCTATCGCTCACTATGACCATTTCTCCCTGACTCTTCTTTCACCTGAAGTTGGTAATAAAATCCTCCTGACAGCTCTCATTGAGATCTTCTAATGTTCAGTTCACCCTCAATCCTCTCTGATGTTGCATTAACTCATCCACTGTTGATCCTCCCTCTTTCTCTCAAGCCAAGTTTCTAGAGCTATTCTAGGACTTGGGGAGTTGATAAGAAACAGGCTGGGACTCAAAGGAGAAAAAGGAAAGACAAATGAGTTCCCAGGAGACCATACACAATGGTGTTGCTGTCTTAGATGTCCTTCGCTCTAAGAGGCTGAATATAGGAGCATGCAGTGACCAGATAATATATTAAAATAAACTCTGGGGGCCAGGAAGATTAGCCAAAGGATAGGAGCACATGCTTTGCATGTATGACCCCAGCTCCACATCATCCCCCATGCTTTGCTAAGATAAATCCCTTTGCACTGAACTAAGTAACTGAGCACTGCCTGTTGTGGTCCTCAAAACTAAAAACAAAATAAATTCCGATCACAGGTTTCTGTAGAAACCTGTCCAGGAAGTCAGTCACCTAGGTGGCAATCAACCCAATGATGCCAATCAGAGTGAGTTGAATCTACTCCTCTAGCCAAATTCATAAGAGGGCCAGTCTGTCCGCATCTTCCCCACACCAGCAACCTCCACCCCTAAGGCATCTGGGAAGCAATCTCTTTTCCCACTGTAGTTCTCTCTCTCTCTCTCTCTCTCTCTCTCTCTCTCTCTCTCTCTCTCTCTCTCTCTCTCTCTCTCTCTCTCTCTCTCTCCTGACTTTGGGTAACTGCCAAAGGCATGCTGATGGCTGACCCCCTTGCTAGAACACACTCTAAATACAGCCTGTTCTCATTTGGGTGGTCTTGGTTTATATCCACAGGTCCAAAGTTCCTTGAGACACAACAGTTTGAGAAATGTTCTTGTCAGGCAGTGAGCCTTAATGTGTGCTGCTAGTGGACAGTATGTTCCATGACAAGGAGAAAAATGTACTGCCACTAATCTAAAATAATGGTGGTCCTTCCCCTTTTGTAATTAAATCATCATCTCCCCCAACCCCGCATTAGGAAGAGGAGTCATATTGTTCTACATAATAAAGATCTGAGGTTCATGGAGGAAGAGGAAGAGAAACAGCCTGGGCACTAGGCTAAAAATGTTAAGAAAGAAATTCGAGGCTAAGGAGAGAAAGTCTGGGGCATTTGCTGCAAATGACTGATGGGCACTGACGAGAAAGGAATTGTAAATGGATTTAGCTGGTGGATATACTCCCTCACTGGAGGAAGCTTTCTGGAGGGGCAGGAATATTCTCTATTTACTGTAGGCAGTTGTTATTTGAGTACATGCAATTATTAAAGCTCAAGGAACAAAACATTAAAGATGTGTGCACTCTCTTCCCCCTTCTCTCCTTCCTCCCACTCTCCCTGATCTCCCTCCCTTTCCCTCCCTGTCTCTACTGCCACCCACCTCTCTTTCTTTCTTTCTTTCTTTCTTTCTTTCTTTCTTTCTTTCTTTCTCTTTCTTTCTTTCTGTATTTCTTTCTCTTCCTTCCTTCCTTTCCTTCATCTCTCCTTCCCTTTTCCTCCCTCTCTCCCTCCCTCTCTTCCTCTCTACCTTCATTCTTCTACTTTTCTCTTTACATTCCTTCCCTTTCTTTTCTTTCCCTTTCTTCCTTCTCTCTCTCTCCCTTCCCCCATCCTTCTACCTTTTTAATTTCCTTTCTCCCTCCCTCCTCACTTTCTCTTCTTTCTCTCTCTTTCTTTCCTCTTTCTTTCTTCTTTCTTCTATCTTTCTTTTCTCTCTCCTTCCTTCTTTCTTTCTCCCTTCATTCCTTACTCCTCCATTTCTCTCTATCTCCACTTCTCCCTCCTTCCCTTCCTCTCCCCCTTCCTTCCTTTCTTCCTTTCTTCTTCCTTCCTTTCCCTCCCTGTTCTTTACATTCCTTTCTTTCTTCCCTCGCTCCCTCCCTTTCTTCCAACCTTCCAATTTCTTTTCTTCCTTCCTTCCTCCCTTCAAATTTGTTTTCTTCTTCCTAATTCAGTGCAAACTCCAGACACAGTCATGGTCCTTGTGAGGCTGGCGGCCTAAGAGATGTCACTTAGGATTGAACAAATAAGAAAATGTGTCCAGGATTACAGGAATATACTGATCAAGAAACAGATGGACAAGGAAATAAGAAAATGAGGGAAGCTCGAGTCAACTCTGTAGTGTTGGTAGTGGGACTATCATAACAAATTCTACACATATACACACAGACTCAGAAATCAATAAAAAATATAAAGGGTCTGTGTCTGAATGTGTATCTAAGTCACAGCTGTGTCTGACAGAGTCTGGGAACAGACGTAAATCGGAGCAAAGAGAATGCTTAACACCCTGAATTCCAAGGGGACCAGGGCTGAGAGGTTCCTGGAATCCTTGGAACATTGATTCTAGAATGGATCAGGGAATGTGCCAGAAAAGTGTGGAACATTATGACATGAAGAAGAACATGGACAATGCTCAGAGATAGGGATATTGTAAAAGGACCCTGAAGTTATTTGAAAAGATGCTCATTTGTTAAATCTGGGACATCAATAATAAGTGAGCATCAAAATAAGTGATGAGAGTAACCAGCTATAATCTCTGGACTAGAACAGGACTTATCACTTATATAGTCATAAACTTACCAGCAAATACATGGCAAGATGAGAAAGTTACATGAATGGGCCATCTAATTAATATAGTATAACCACTAGATTTTGAAAGTTATAACTTAGAAAGCATTAAATAAATGTTTAATTCTGCCACCCCCCCAAAAAAATAGCAATTGTTGTTACAAGTGGGGTGCAGGTAGGAGGAGGGATAAGCCTCAAAACATGACTTCATGGGGCCGGAGAGATAACACAATGGGCAGAGCACTTGCCTTGCATGTGGCTGACCCAGGTTCAATCTCTGGCATCCGGTATGGTCCCCTGAGCACCACCAAGAGTGATTCCTGAGTAGAGAGGTAGGAGTAAGACCCGAACAGCACTGGGTTTGGCCCCCAAACCAAACAACAACAACAAAGAGTAACTCCAGGGGCTGGAGATATTGTACCACAGACAGAGTGCTTGCCTTGCACGTGGCCAAACCGAGTTTGTGGCCCTGCACTCCATGTGGTCTCTGAAGCCCTGCCAGGAATGATTCCTGAGCACAGAACCAGGAGTCAACCTGGAGCACTGCCAAGTGTGGCCCAATAACTAAAAATAAATAAATAATTCTATGTAAAATCACTCTTTATTGCAAGGCATGAAGGTGGAGGAATAGAAGGGAGAAAGTGGGCACTTACTGTCTTGACCAAGCAGACAAAGTCAGATAAACAGACACTGGGAACCCTCAAATCGGATGTAACCGGGACCCAATAGTCTGTCTGAAACATTCCTGCCCCTAACCTAATAACCTGGGTCCTGTCACAAGGCGGTATTGCGTGCAACAAACGTGAGGGCCTTTGTGTGCAATCTTCACCCTGTCTCTTCAAACAGACAAAGGCCAGGGAAAGCAGAGGGGGAAGGTTGGAGGGGAACACCCCACTCTATCCTCTAAGAGCCTGAAGCACATTGGTTAGATGAGTCTGGGTGAGGGCCAGAGAGATGGTACAGTGGCAAAGCACTTGCATTGCACACAGTACCCTCAGCATCCCAAAGGATTCGCTGAGCCCTGTCATGAGTGAACTCTGAACCCAGAGCCACAAGTAAGCCCTGAGCACTGCCAGGTGTGGCCCAATCCCGACCCCCGCCCTTTTTTTTTTTTAAAGGAACATAGTGCGTGTCCCGTGGTGGTTTCTAATGAGATACTGTCCTTAAACTGGACTATGTGAAGTCTCAGCTTTACTCTGTGTCATCCCTAAAAGTCAATGGTATGAGGGGCTGGAGCCATACCACAGCAGGTAGAGCATTTGCCTTGCACGCGGCCAACCCAGGTTCGATTCCCAGCATCTCATATGGTCCCCCGAGCACTGCCAGGAGTGATTCCTGAGTGCAAAGCCGGGAGTAAGCCCTGAGCATCGACGGGTGTGACCCCCCACCCCACCCCAAAAAAAAGGTAAATGGTAGGGGTAGAATGGTCTCAGCTAGAGAATTCTTTTTAAATAGAAGCATATTTAACAAGACACTGGGGTTGACTAATACAAGATAACATTTGTTTCACAGAAAATAGGACATATACATCTACATTTCTATGTGAATCCCAGTTCCCATCAAAACGTTTTACTAATGATATATAACGTATTATATATATTTCACATACATGTCAAATATATATATGACTTTGAGGATAGTAAAAATCCCCTCTTCATAATTAAATATACACTGATGACAATCTGCACAATTTGTAAATTATAATTATAATGAGTCCTGAGTGCTCTGCCATTGGAACATGTCTGAGTTACAAGATGTTCCAGAACTCTTCCAAAGACACACACATGGGGGTGATAAAAAGCCTTATAATGATCCCCGAGAAAGGATGTGATCATTCCTCTTCTAGCCTTTTTTTCCTCTACAACTTTAAAACCTTGTGGTTGATTTGT